TCGAACAGTTCGTCCGCCAGCAACCCCATGGGCAGTCTGAATGCCGCCTCAGGTCTAAATGTGCCCGGCGGTGCTGGAGGAGCTGGCGCAGCGGGGGGCGCAGCGGGCGTTGGTGGCGGTGACGCAAGCAAAGCCAAAACGAACACACATTTAGGCATTCAGCGTCCTGGTTTTGGCGGTGGTGGCTCCGGTGGCTCCGGACAAGGCCGGACGGTGCTCACCATGGAAGACTTGGGCATGGCTGTTGCAGAGTATGGTGTCAGCGTCAAGAGAGGGGAGTTTTACCGGTAGAGAGGGCTGAGTCCTGGGGACGGACCACATCCGTGATGGTCAGTACAGCCAGCACTCAACCGGATTTCATCCGCTTGGCCTGAAGTATTCTTCGTCTGCACGGTCGATAGAGCTCATCCACAAGATTTGGATGACTTACGAGAGATTTTGACGTTATATTGCTACGCAGTCTTGGCGAGACGGATTATGGTGGCTTTCTCTGGGAAGGCAGATTTTTCAACTTCATTTGGCGTACATACTGGGTCGAGGACGACGGATATCCTGCATTGGGGGTTTCTTATCTTTCGAAAAGAAGTTTTTTTACGAACCTTGAGGTCACTCGCAGGCGTTTTTGGAAGGCTGAAGGGACACATATTCATCGGTGTCCACCTCAACAAGTATACAATTTATTGCGTCCTGATATGCAGAATAAAATGAAATTATTGAATCTCGCAAAACCTAGATAACTCCAACACAGTAATCACTATTTTTACAACACGCGTTTGTGTAGATGTACACTTCCTGCCAGTAGAAGACGGAAGAGCGTCGGCAGGGAGACGCTGCCGCAGAGGAGCGAGATGCTGGCCTTACAGGTATTCCCTGCCTTGATCCTTCTCGAGCAACCGCCGTAACAGCATCAATCGAGATTCCATTCCACAATGATGCTCGCCCCAGAAACAACAGCAGTAAGCGCCAGGTGTCGAAAAGCAGCGACAAGAAACATCGAACGGTATCCCCGTATCCCACCAGAATCACTTATTTGTTCTTCGACTGCTTGTACGTGAACCGCTTGCGAGTACTGCCAAAGCCAACCGTCAGCTTTTCATCCTAGATGTCTGCTTCCCATTCCCGATTGTCGGAAAGTCTCCCAAACCGAAAGCGCATCAACATACGGAACATATTCGCCCAGCTTCCTCCCTACCATATCCTCCGTAATCAAAACATCCTGGTACGTCTTCCCGTTATGCACCGCGAACCGCAGACCGACGAAATTAGGCAGGATTGTCGCTCCGCGCTTCTGTGTCTTGATCGGGGGTGTGCCGGGAGGAGGGGGGAGTTTTCGCGGGAGAGGGAGACTGTCAAGAAAAATTGAGCGTCAGCTTGTACGACAGACGCAATCAAACTTATTTGAAACTCTCTGCAATCCTGAGGCAAGTATATTCAAGCTAGGGCATGGAGCTAACGTACGGCACGATGTTCGGGCCTGCGGTGATGGTAGCGGAATTAGCCATTATGCCTTCCTTCGAGACGATTCAACTGAACAGGAGCCGTCTTGGGCAGACTCACCTTTCCATACGGATCGCGCCAGCAGAGCACGAGTGGGGAACATCTTGTCGATACACGCTGCTCAACAAGTCTGAGACTCCGGAAGTTGAGTCGCAAATCGATGCTTTTCGGACGGCTGATTATGTAAGCGAATATACATGGATATGCTCTGCACGAACTACGAAGGGATTACGGAGAAGGACCGGTTTGAACTTGGAAAGGATATAGCTATTATTCTTCTTATCTGCTATAGTTATCTACTGTGATTGTCAGCTATTATATGCTTTTTCCCCAAGCAAGCTATCCTCGTATATTGATAGCAGTAAATCAGAGCCAATAGCTTGAATATCTCCCAATCCAGAAGCCGCCAGCGACCGTTGGATGTAAAGATCCAGTATTCCAGAATTCTATTTGATGTGCTCATTCCATAGCAAGCTCATCGAGCAGCTTTATCAAGCTCCGGACTCCCATGAGGACGTTCTCGTCCGGACCCTGACCGGGCGTCCAACTGGCGTGCGCAAAGTCAATCAGGCGGAGGTCATGCACCTTAGGAGGATCCTCCTCGTCCTCCTCTTTTTCGAAGTCTATTTCTCCTAATTGTGCTGTTTGTGGATCAAGGTTGATATTGATCGCCTGCTGCGGTATTCCCTCTTGCCCAACCTGGAGATTGACGACTTCGAAGGAGCCATCTTCCTGCAGAGCAAAATCAAACTCCTCGTCCTCTTCTTCAGACTCTTCTGGTGATCTGTCCTTGGGTTTCTTTTCTTCTTCTAGTGCTTGTTCCATGGCCTCCGGGTCGCCTTCGTAGACAATGAGAACACTAGCAGAATACATCCTGCTCTCCTCCGACTCCAGGATCGACCGCACACGCTTCAGCTCGTCAGCAAGTCTCCGGGCGATTAGTTTAGACCGATCAGCAGCGCCGGCCTTTGCGCCGGCGAGGAACGTCTCAAAGCCTTCTTTCACATTCTTCTCATTAAAAGACCGTCCGTACCACTTGTCGTAGCGCTTGTAGCCGTCTTTTTCAATTACTTCACCCCTGGCACCCTCGACTCCCTCATGCTTGGTGGCGTATGGATTGGTCTTGCTGCCCTCGTCCGTCTCCCCGTGAACGCCGGTCCAGATCTTCATCCCGGCAATGCGAAACCCAAGACTACCGCTGGTCGTCTCCTTGGCCACCGCCTCTAGCTTGGCCCGTTTAGCCGGTGGTGCGTCATCAGCCCAAAGTCGCGCGCCAAGCTTCACATCCAGGACATTTGGCCGTTTGAACCCAGAGGCGACGTTCTCCAGGACTATGGACAACCCGGTTTCGAGCTTCTTTCCACCAGAGGGAACCCAAGACTTGTTCTCGTCTGCGCCTTTCGAGTTTAATTCGGCATTCCCACTAAGTTGCGGCGTCTCCGCGGTGATCGGGGTGACGGATGACGATGAGTCGTCCGCGGCGGGTAGAACAATAGCTCCACTCTGCTGAGCAGCAGCGGCGAGCGCGAAGGGCCCTTGCTGGTCGGCAGACGATAAGGTTCCGATATAAGTGGGAATGAACTCTCGAAAGGCGGGATGGAGGGCGCTAGATTCGTAAAACGCAACTTCTTGGGGAGTGCAAGGTTTCGCAATGAAGGAACCGGAGAGAGTGCAACGTACGCCGTCACTGTAGAGAAGATATTAGACTAGTCATGCAACCGTGCAAAGTACGCGCACAAAGCGCACTGCGCCGACAACAATTGGGTGCTCAATGCATGATGGCTCAGCCGCTAGAGAGGCTGAGATCCGCGGCATGTGGTGCTGACGTGGGCGAGTAAGGTGAGCTGAGTGCGGATGGATACTTACTGTCCAGCAGCGGCGTGGTCGAAGTCGACAAAGCTGTCAGTATCGAGTTTAGGTGTTCTCACACTATCCGACCTGGAAGACGACGGCATGTTGTTCGTGAGAAGACAGAAGAATCATATACTGTTGCACACCGAGCGCCGCTAAATCTCATTCATTGTCTCATTCCGGGAGATGCGTTTGACAGGCACGGGTATTAAGGAGGTATTCGAGGCCGCGATAGAGATTCGGAGGGAAGTAGTCAAAGGCGAAAGAAAAGAAGTCGTCGATAGAGTGTAGCCAAAAGAGACGGTAGGTAGACGAAGGAGCGAAGAAAAGGAGAGACAAGTCAAGTCGTACTTCTGTCTACGGCTGAGATGCAATCGTGATCGGCATGACTGGCACAAGGGGAGTCGTTGTCAACTTAGTTAGTGTCTTGGTCAAATAATAACTGTCAGTTTTGATAAGAAGTGATCGGCGGCTGTGGATTTCCGGCTCAACGCGGGTTGTGGGCCGTTTCTAGAGGCGTGGGATCATTTGGATGGCATCATATCTACCTCTTTTGGTTGAGGCTCATTCTGTGCATGTCAACTGTGTCTCCTAGAAGGAGGTACACTTCTCTTAGTCAATGGTTTGCCTCCCCTGTCCCTTCGAGCAGGTTCGGTATACGCCATACTTGGGTCCTAGTTCTCCCTTTGCTATTACACTAGATGTTATGGGTGTATGTATCCTGACCAGGAAAAGAATGGAGGGTGCCTCTCACCAAGGAGCCATTTAGAATCTCCCGTATTTATAAGGGCATGCTGCCTCTGTGTTCGAGCATGACAACCGGACGAAATACCACCTCTGGATACGATGGTTCCGAGAGCCGTCATCGACGAGTAGACCCTGGACAATGAAACGCTCTTTTCATGGGTCCACAATGAGCAGCAAGTCCTCAAGATCTGCAACAAAGTCAGGCCGGCTTTGCAGTACTCCTAATTCTGAGCCACAGCCCTCAGTTTGTTAGACTTTGGGCGTTCTCTCCCTGTTGTACTGTCCCTTACTGTCGGTTAGGTCTCGTAGATCAAGTATTTTACTATCAATTCGCCTCGATATCGTTCACTGTAGAACCAATCTCCGGATGTCGAAGAATTTGAAAAGTTACGGCCTATGTTAAGGTAGTCAGTAGTCTAATTAAGTCAATTGGCTTTCAGTCTGACAAGAGAATGAAACAGAGATGATCGGCGGCTGTGGTTGGATCCTCCGGATGGCATCACATCTGCCTCTTTTGGTATGTACTTGGTCTTCTCACTTGCTTGGCTTCCCGTATTGATTATTATAGTATCCTATGCACAGGTGGATTATCTCAATTGATATAGCCTGGACCTGTTAGGCGACTTATACTTTATCCTCGGAAAGCTGCTTGAGAGTCGAACAATGAAGAGGTTGGAGGTGTGCTCTGTTTGCTAGTGAATTTCATAAAACAAACAGAGTAAGAAGTAGTTGGAGATAGTCTTTTCCATTCCTCTTGCCAAATACTGGTGAATGATATTCAATTCTCTCTCTCTTGTCTACTTCCCATCCCTGTCATCCGACCTTTCTTCCACCTTTGTATCAGCTTGGTCAAATCATTTCTTTTATCTCTGAGAGCAAGCAATCTCATCGGTTCTCTCATGGCCATGGAGACTCCAGAAATCCCCTCAATCTGCTCTCAGGAACTCCCCCTTCGACCCCTCAAACAACACAACGACCCAAAAACTGAGCAGCCGAACATGACTACTCCTTCAGGACCTCAGATCAGCAAGCCAGTTGAAACGACTCCACCCCAGCCAGAAGCGAATGCGAATCAAGAGGAACTAGAGACTATCCCTGTTGATCTGGTGGAGCCAAAGAAGAAAAAGAAGAAAACCAACAGACCGAAAAGCAAACGCGGCAAGGTAAGGCCTCTATCCTTGACCGGAATGACTTATGATGGAACTGATACTTGCCCTCTGCAGAACAAACCGACAGGGTTCGAAGAGTACTACGTGGACGCCCCTATAACACCCGAGGAGTATGCAGAGGGACGAGAAATATACGATGTGTATGTGATCGATGCCACACTAGGAGATGAGTCGGCTGACAAGCAGATCACCTTATCAAGCTCTCGGCCTATCATTCAGTAAGTTCCTCGTGGCGACTAGGACTTATTGGTTGCAAATCTGACGTCCCTAGTCGAATGGAAGACGCGATCCTACGCTTTCAGAAGAAGCGGCGCATTGAATGTGACAGACGCGAAATATTCTTAAAGTACCTGCAATATGGAGGCGTCGACATCAGTCCAAAGATGTTCACGGGTACAGACCAACGCGATCTCAAGGAAATGGACAGTGAACAGATCCTCCTGGCCAGGGCCCAGACAAGCATCGCGCAGGAGCAATCGAACTTGCTCATTGACTTCGACGCTGTGGTCAAAGGGTATCTGTAAGCCTCCATGGCAACGCAATGCTGCCACGTATAATGAGACTGACGGCTGAGCAGGACATCCTACTTCCCGTACTACTTCAACCCCGAAACCGAGGACATGGTCAAGCTGGCCACAGTCACGATTTGGAACTTCCTCACGTACATCCTCCACCACGACGTAGTCCCAGAATGCAAAGCCAACATCGAGGAAGCCAGGAAATCCTGCGACATCGCCAGCAAAGAGCTTTGGAAAAACCAGCAGTTCACAGCCAAAGGACCCGGAGACTTCAATACCGCTTGCTCTACCCTCTTCGGCGGCGTCTTCTTCGACCTCTACGTTGAAGACGACCAGTGGAACAACAGCAAGGACGATACAGTGTGCATGACCAACGAGATCGCCCGTAAGGTGGTCAAGTTCGCGCTGGCAGGCGCCGGGACCGACAGACAGGCCGTCCGATTCCAAGAGCTTGCAAACGAAGACGCACTGCGGGCGATGCGGGTCGAGGACATCGATGGCTTTGAAGTCACCGCCATTATCTTTCCAGACGACGAGACGAAGGAATTTTACAAGGTGCACGCTCTAGATCTGCACCCCGTTGGAAGAATGCGGGCCAAGGCCTACCGCGACCCCGGCAAGCCCGACATTGACCTCAGCCCTGAGGAGAGACTGGAGTGGGAAGAGAGCGGTGCACCGGCATTGGAGTTTGACTTCTTCCTTGAGGAGAGTCTGCTGAAGTTGTGCTATCCGGGCATGAAGGTCATTACATCGGTTTGGGAACTTAACTGTGGATTCCATTACTTCGATGAGGTGTTCACAGCCTACTGTTCTAATTACACGGTTCTGGCCAACGATTTGATGATAGGTTGGAAGAAGCCGAAAGATTTGCGGATGGGAGATGATCGTGAGGCTGATGAGACTGATGATGAGGAAGGCAAGTGTTCAAAGGAAAAGGAAACAGAGGGTGCCCACGCTGTTGAGGAGGTGATCTGATTCGAGTTTCTTGTGTAGCTCCAGGGCGATCGACTCTGATTCCAGCAGCATCAGCATACGTTGATACACAATTCGATGGATTTTGATCAAAGAATCGATAATTCTCCTCATATATGTACACACGTAAATCCATGTTTCTGATTGGGCAAGTAGATCATGGCTTCAAGAGAGACTTTCCCGTAGTCTTCCTTCCCTCGAGGTCGATATGCGCCTGTTGAACCTGCTCAAGCGGGTAAACCTTGTGGATTCTGACCTTGAGTTGGCCAGACTTGAGCAGGTTGAACAGCTCATTGACATAGAATTCGAACTCTTCCCGGGTCTCAATGTAGCCGAAAAGAGTAGGACGGGCAACCTTGACACACTTGGGGGAGAGTTTACTGTCCAGGTTAGCCCGTGTGGAATCAGCGCAATGATGTGAAAGACCAAACTTACTTCAAAGGCAGAGGAGGAACGGGTCCACTGGCATTCCCAAACCAAACGATTGTACCCTTCCTCTTGACGGCCTCCAGGCTTCCTTCCCAGGTATCCTTTCCGACGGAATCATAGACCACATCCACGCCTCGGCCGCCGGTAATCTCCTTCACCCGCTTCACCCAATCCTTCCCCTCCTCGCTGCGGTAGTCAATGACATGATCCGCACCGAGGCTCTTAACCAGCTCGACCTTCTCAGGACCACCTGCAGTACCAATGACATGCGCGCCGATCGCCTTGAGGATCTGCGTCATGAGAAAGCCGGCACCACCAGCGGCAGCATGCAAAAGCACCCAGTCACCCTTCTGCACGGTATAGGTCTCCTTGGCCAGCGACAAGACGGTCAGCCCGCTCAGGAACGAAGCCATGATATCCTCATCCGAGATGCCGTCGGGAATCTTGACCGTCTTGACCGCAGGGACGGCAGTGTACTCCGCATATCCGCCGGTGCTGAGCCAGGCCACGCGGTCACCAACCTGGAAGTTGTAAGGGTTTGGTCCGGGCCCCAGGGCGACGACGGTGCCGGCGCCTTCGCGGCCGAGGACTTCGGGCTTTGGGGCGGGGTAGAGTCCCGTGCGGAAGTAGGTGTCGATGTAGTTGATACCGGAGATGTTGTTCTTGACGAGCAATTGGCCCTCTTGCGGGGTGGGGACGGGATAGTCGGTTTTGAAGTCGAGGACCTCGGGGCCGCCGGTCTTTTCGACCAGGACGGCTTTCATGGTGGTTGGGGTAGACATGGTGCGTGATTGCAGTCGGAATGACGGATGGAGATGAGAGCGAAGAGCAGAGAGACGGACGAGTGTGGGAGATCTGACCGTACTGGCGGTTGCTGTGGAGAGGGAATTGTTGAGGCGGGAGATGAATGCGCGGGAGAGATGCATTCGGTGTGAGGAGAGGATACGAGAGGTAGTGAGATTATTATAAGTATGGCCAGAAGAACCTTCTTTGGCGATCTCTCATCATTTTATAAAAGAGGATTTGTCATCGCGATTGCTATTCTCTGGTTATATCTCTACGACCCTTCCCCGCAGTTCCCCCACTATGGAATCATCCGCGATGGACGATGACCTCGGATTTGATCCGGCTTGGACTGGGAGTTATTTTATGATTTCGAAAGTAGCTGCTGTTCTCTCCCTTCATTAAGCAACTATCTTCGAATCTTGTCCCCTTAAACGTCTCATTTCGACATCGTCTCGTGTCTTCTGATAAATCAACTTCCGTCGGGTGTTATCCGAGTCCGTCGGATCTCTTCCTTTAGCCTTGTCCCCGACGATTGAGAGCAGAAGATGAAAAGGAAGTCAAAGATGAAAGATGAGAGATGAAGATCCTTGTACCAACAGTTACTTTTGATATGTGTGCAAATCCAGGGAAGGAATATGCTCAAGAAGTGTAGAAGTAAAGGAGCCTACCTTCAAGATATATCTTCATATTGATCAAGCAACAAGTGGCATACAGTTTGATTTCCCATCTTGATAAGACTAAAAAAGAAACGTTATCAATATATTCAGATGTAAAGAAGATCCTACAAGCTGAAAGATGACAGACAGATATCCAGGGGAGGGTGACTCAGAGTTATTGTGTTGGCTGTCTCTCCACCATACTCACTGCCAACAAACTCATCAATGCAATCCACTTTCTGCCTTGCACACATCCCATCATCAGAATCAACATTTTATTTTACACCTCATTGCTTGCTCTATAATTGCGCATCCCTATACCTCTCTGTTGATGAGAGTACCATAATTTGCCACCCAGTCCTCTGACTAGAGCTAACACAAACATCGTCACTTTGCCAGCCTCATTCTCGACATCAGTACACTGAGCAGGATACCAACAAGACATCGACATCATACGCCCTACCTTGCCCTCATCAATGGATTGAATATCCATCCATGCAACTCAATGACCAATAATCGTCGATGATGGCGCTGAAAAGGAGGCTGAGTGGAATGGATGCACTGTCGATGAACAACTGTCATGTCTATCCTACAGTATGTGGCGTTTTCATATCTGCAAGGCTCTCTCCGCAACAGCCCTTTCTTCATAAGAGATGATGATTCGTCCATTCAACATAAATCTCGACATTAGTGCTGATCCAGATTGGTTGTCCAGTGTGTCTTTGTCCGCCGGCGCAGGCGTCTGCAAGCCCGCAGCATGCGATTACCACTAGCATTGCCGACCAAGTATCATCATGTTTCGGTGCCTGTTGACATGTTCGAAGCATCACCACTCATTCTCACTGCGAACCCTTGACGTCTGGCTTCGATGAATGATCTGACATTTATGTATGGAGGTTGATTCGCTGCCTATTAACGCCCAATCCCCCGTGTCTGTGCTCTGATAGGGCCGCTATGATGAAACGCGCTGCCCAACCAGGCCCTTTACGCAATTTATATACCGAGCTTCCTGGCGCTGGCTCTTCCTGATTCTCTTTGTTCCCATAGACCCAGGGACAAAAAGTTTTTTTCTTCTTCTTTTCTTGTATAATAATCTTGTACACTACAGCTGACAACTTCCCGAGGATCCCCTTGGACAACATTCTGATACCTTTGTTCGCTCACATTTCTAGCCTGGTATTCCATTTATCGACATATTGCTCTGTTCGATCTCTCTGACGCTTGCACAACTCCGAGTGAGTCTGGGATTCGACGGTGCTACCATGCAAACCGTCGCCAGGGAAGGAGATCTAATCAGCCGTGCCACTGCCACAGGATAGCCTTTGCCAGTTCAGCTCCTCTGAGAGAACTTCATCTGTCTGCCGCTCCCCTGGAAGTCACCACGCATCTACCTTGGACTCATCGCGGCCGACAATGCCTCGGTTTGGACGCAAGCGGCCCCAATGGCCACCATCTCCCTTGGTGGAGGACGAAGCCGCCTCACTCTCGCGGGAACTCCACGGAATGTCCATGCTAGGAGAAAAGCCCGGGTTTGAAGGTGTCTGTTCCCGGGGAACCATTGACCAATGCCCTGTCATCCTGGACGTGCATATTTCCGAGTCTTCGAAGATGGGAAAGAATGACATGGAGGAGTGCAGCCGTGGAAGCAGTTCTTCAGATGATAGCACAGGACCAGCCACGCCACCTGAAAGATTTGTACAGGATCCACTTCTCCACGTCATTGATGATTCCCAGGAATTTCACTTGACGCCTCCTATGTTGCCTACTGCCTTGCCGGTCAAGGAGACAAGGCTTCAAACCCAGCCAAGTAAGGAGGAGCGTCAGCAGCCCAGGAAGTCACAACACACCGCCAGCAGCCGTCAAAGAATGGAGTCGACTCATACGACTTCCAGGTCCCAAAGTGCAAACGCAAAGAGAAATATTGATGTGAGAGCACCCACTCAAGATCCTCCTCGCAACCTTGAGCGTGTCTCTGTGCCTGCAAGGAACGGACAAAATCCCCTAGGGAGGCCAGCCGAGAAGACTTCTTCTGCCGCGGTCCCGAATCGTTCCGGCAGCGTGAAAGATGGGCGTCGACACTCCCCCGCCGAGTCTCAACAATCGCGCTCATCAGCCGGTTATGTCTCTGATTCGGCTGCAAACAAGTCCCCAACGAATCCTGGAACCGTGCATAAGGAGCCCCCTTCACAGACAAGCAAGAGAACTCATGGTGTCCCTCCTACGGTATCAGGCTTGGCTGAAAGGTTGGAAGAGAAATTGAGACAGCGACAGAAACTTCGCGAGTCTGAAAGCTCTGCTCAAGAAAGTGGGCTGCCTCTTGCTCATCCTACGGGTCGCACTGAACCGCTGTCCACCGAGCCTCCTCGAGCTTCTCAGTGCACTGCACCTCCCGAGGCTGTGTCAGGAGCTACCTCTCGCGGAACTCGCTCTAGGGCTCTGTCCACCCCAGCGAAGCCGATGCCCGCCGTCCCTTACTCAGAGGAAGCTGATCCGTTTTCTGCTTCATTCCGTACGGCGACGAGTGAGGCAATGGACCCTGTATCATTTCAGTCGACAACGAAACGAACAGTATCATTTTTCGGCGACAAAGAGCAGGAGCGCGAGCGATCAAGATCCTCGAGACGGCCGAGTCCTTCCAAAGCACTGGTTCGCCCACCTTCCCCAGAAGAAGCCAGTCCCTGCCTTCTGCCTTGTCCGCGGTCTGTCCCTATGACCGGGCACCAGGACTGGTATACCATCAAAGGGTTGGAACATCTTGACATCTGTCCTTCATGCATGAAACAGATGTGCAACTCGCAATTCCAAGATTTGTTCATCCCTAGTTTACCGGTACCACGTGGTCAGAGAGTTCGATGCTCGATGAGTGAGCCGTGGACACGACTCGCCTGGGTGCAGACCATCAAGAAGCAGCACGAGACTTTGGACATGCTCCATCAGATTACCCGGCCGCCGCCAGGAAGTAAGCTATGCACCGGACGCATCATCAGCGATCAGTTCTGGTACCGAATCATCGACCCGGAAACAGGCATGTACCTGCCAAAGTTCAACGTCTGCTCCGCGTGTATTCGCAACCTGCGCATTCTTATGCCGCAGCATCGCGAGACGTTCAAGAGAAGCACCACGATGCAGGAACGGGTCTGTGATTTCGTGGCGGACAGTCCGCGGTTCGTCCAATACATCGACCTGCTGGATATTGCTGCAAACCGCGCCGAGCTCGAACGCTCGCCACGGCCCGACGTGACCGAGTTCCTGGCTTACGCTCGCCGTAAGGTCGTGCTAAGGGACTGCCGCCGTGATCGACCGGTTCTTGGTATGTGGTACTACATGCCGCAGCTGCCCGAGTTCACGGTGTGCGAGGATTGCTACGACGACGTGGTGTGGCCGTTGGTCAAGGCGAGTAAGCCCATCGCGCGGGAGTTCTCGACCATGATGCGACTCGTGCCAGGGGACGCCCCGACTCGATGCCGGGAAGCCAGCTGCCAGCTGTACTCACCCCGGATCCGGGCCAAGTTCCGTGACGCCGTGCAGCGGAACGACCTGGCTTACCTGAAGCTGATCGCATTGAAGCGGTACGACGTTGAGCAGCACATGCGGGAACGACGTGAGGAGCTGTTGGAGGAGGAGCGCAAGGGCTATGACTGTGACGCTGAGCTGCGGAGGACCTTGCTCGAGTGGAGGAGATGGGAGTGAGGGTGGAACATATCGGGGGCTATCGCTGGCGACAAGCCTTGTTCACTGGGATTATCACAATGTAACGGTAATATGGGTATTCTATAGACATGTATCAACAACAACAATGAAGGCGAAAGTATGCACCAGATCATTCTGTACTTGTAGCCTCACCTCATAATCACCCTCACGACTCGGCAGCCTCCCTCACCAACTCACTCAGCGCCACAACCCGATACCCCCGTCTCCTCAACTCGGGCAAAACCCTCCTCAGCATCGGCACCGTCCAGCTCCTCCGATCATGGCAGATAATCACACTCCCCGGCCGCACCATACTCAGCACATGCGCCGCATTCACCCGCGCATACGGAATCTGCGGATCATGCGGATACACACTCCCCAGCGCAATGCGCAGCCCCAAAGCCCTCACCAGCCTCCTCATCCTCTCGCTGAAAAACCCGGACCCCGGCCGAAACCACCTAACGCCCGGCCCCTCCACCCCAACCCCGGCATACACATCACTAATCCGCGCCTGCACCTGCGCAATCTGCGCCGACAGCACATCATCGCCCAGCGCGCGCGACGGCTCATCCCGCATGGCATGGTTCCCCAGCTCATGGCCCGCGCGCACCAGCTCCCCCAGCACCCCCTCTCGCCCGTCAATCTGCGCGCCGATGAGAAAGAACGTCGCCGACGCGCCGTGGGCCCTCAACTCCGCCGCTATCTCCGGTGTGTATTGCGAGGGGGCATCGTCGATCGTCAGCGCGACCAGCTTCTTGTGCGGCGGGAGGGGAACGTGGAAGAGGACGTCCGGGTAGCGGTGTTGGAGGTAGCGGATTAGGAGGCTTGGCGGTTTGTAGATGAGGTAGAAGGGGGTGAAGAGGAGGGCAGTCAGAAGGATGGGGAGGAGCATTACGAAGAGGCGTTTGAGTTTTCGGCGGCGGCGGTAGCAGCTGTAGAGCATGGTTGGGTTTGTGCTTGTCTTAGGCCGATGATTTGGAGTTTGGAGATTTGGTTATGATGTAGATAGATGGTTGATGGGGTTGTTCCACCGGGCAGTTGCGTACGCGTCGCTTGATGACAACCAGATGGAGTACGGAGTAGTTCGTAGTCTTCTGTGATGAGTCTTATTTTTAGTATATAGATAATTTTAGTCATTGTTTATTTAACCCGGAGACTGCGATCAGCATTGAATATCACACAAAAATCTTCATCAACTCCATATTAGATGTGTATGGAATATCAATAGCGAGAACGCGCACAGGCTCAAGCTGGGAGTATGAAGAAGCTTACTCGATACTGCTAGTACTCAATGAAAGCCGACAGCAGAATCAAGTTAGAATGCATTGTCTAAATGTCTGTTATATACGGGTATCCCGGCCCAGTTGCGCACGCATTGTCACCCAACCCAACTCCGATTCTCATAGCCTTGACGAATGATTAAAACCCGCTATATATCGCTTCTGCCATGCATGTACTATCCCACCAACCCAACCACCTCTCCAGGCCACTTCTTACCCCAGACAATGGCCCTTGGCGGTACTCGCCCACCGATCGGAGCCAGGACGCGAATCTTGCCCTTCTCGCTATCTACATCGGCCACGTACAGGAATCCCATGAGACCGGCATCGCGAATCTCTGCCGGAGTGGCATTCGGCGCGGCATGTGTAATTGCGAGCAGGGAATTGGCAAGCGTGTTCGGTGCGGGAGGTGGGACTTTTTTCAGGGGAACAGCCGAGCTGCCTGGTGCTGCATCCTCGCCTGAGCCTGCTAAGCCAGGCACGGAGGAAGCGAACGGGGTCTCTTCTGTATGCCGGGACTCAGTACCCTCCGCGTCGTTGCTTCCTCCAGGGAAGAATGCGTCGCTGGTGCCGAATTGAGAAGGATCGTATTCGTCCTCATCTTCATCTGAAGAGGCGATTGTGTAGTTGTAAACGGCCAAGGAGTCGAAATCGAGCTGTTGGGCATGGGGGGAGAGCGTAACGTTTGTGGTCGAAGACGCAGACATCGAGAGTGCCGCCGATGCCGTAGAAGGAATAGGATTGCCGAAGAAGTATGTTCGAATCTGCGACTCGCGCACTGCCTTCATGAACGCTGCGTCGCGGTCCACGCAGCCGCCAGACTTGGAGAGCTTCACGACGGTGATCCGCTCATCCGACGCCGCAGCAGACGCACTGGACGTCGGCTTGTTGTCGTAGTTCTTCATCATGGTGCTGTAAAGCCGTTCTGAGCCTATGACCAGGATGGTCGTAACTGTACAGGTCAGTCTCATAAACAACGACGGAAGTAGAAAAGAAGGAAGAAGCCTCACTTGCAAACTCCGTCACGATGTGGTTGATAATCTCAAGACTACCCGGCTTGCCTGCGCTCAAAATGCCCGGCGTATCAACGATGATCCCCGTCTCGCGCGTGTCTTCATCCTCGGCCATCCGCCCCGTCACAGACAGCGCCAGCCGCGACACAATAGGTCGATAAACAGCACCCTCCGCCTCGAGCGGATTCTGCAATGGATAGAAATAAACCAACGGCAGCTTAACAGGCACCGCACTCGGCCCAGACATCGGACTACTCCCCCACCCCTCCTCAACATTCATCATCGTCCGGAATGCCGTCGCCGTCAGCGTCCCAGGGACGCTCAGCATGCCCTCCGCCGGATCCAAGTTGACCACAATCGGCTGCCTCCCGACCTTGGTCGCATAGGCCGTCAGAATCTTCGCCACGCTCGTCTTCCCCGCGTTCTCGGGACCCAGAATCAGCACCCGCGGCCCGTCCTTGCCCGTCGCCTTGGCCTCCTGGCGCATCGTCTCCAGCGCAAAATGCACATTCGCATACTCAACCATCGGCGTCTCCTCGGCTGTATACTCGCTCTGGCAGCCCCCCGCGCCGTAGCCGCGAGCCGCGTCGCCGTTCAGACCACCCGCCGATGCCAGCCCATCTACCGTCGATATCGCATCGCCGGCGCTGACCTCGAGTGTGCAGCCGTGCCAGGTGTAGATCGCCGCTTTCGTCCCGGAGAAGGTATACGTCTGTGATGCGGCAAGTTCTGTGCCGAAAAGCTCTGCGGTGCCGGCCAGTAGCTACAGCACGTAAGTAACGATGTATTAGCCCATTGCAATGCGTCATCGACACCTTATCAATCCGTGATCAAGCCACTTCGTCACTGTTACCCACCTTGACTCGTATAGCTGTGCCAAACGCAATCTCAAATCTCCATTCCGAGCCCTTGGACAAGGTAATCTGCGTTGGCGGTGCGGGGACAAACTCCCTCTCCGCTGAGGTCTGCGAGAGCTCTAACCCCGGGAGCGACATTGCATCGCTGTACTGCAGAGATAAATAGGCAAGTCCTCGATTTTCACAAGACCGACACAAATGCGACAGAATCAGAAGAAAAACTTGTCCTTGTTTCTATTGATTGAATGTGAAGCTGAAGGGTGTCGAGAATTGGTGCTGGAGCTCTTGGGAGCTTCATGATTGCGGTGATGTTTTGAATGTTTGCAGTGCGGATTGTTTCACCCTGTTATTACCAGACCTCAATAGTAATAAATTGATGCGTGGATTATTGCTACCAAAGTGAAGCATTTGATTTAACACATCCAAGTGCTCTGAAAAGAGTATGGCAAAGCCATCTTTTTGTACATGGTCGCATACTACGACTAATCTACAGTGCCTTAAGAAGACTGCCAGAGTCAATCATTCATATCATACTGCATTGCTTCGAGTCTGGGTCCAGTGAAGAGGGTCAAGTGCTTGAAAGGAGAAACGGGGTCGGGGTGCCGTAGATCAGGTATCCAGAAATCAAGTCAAGAACAAGGGGAGATAACGTAGAAAAGAAGGAATAGAGATGCAAAGCTTCTCTCTTTCAATGTCCCAACCCAAACACCATTGGCAAAGCTGCTGATACCCGCAAGACCTATGGACAGGAATATTTCCCTTTGCATCAAAAGGGGCACATTATTAAGAAAACCGATAGAATATCAATACAGTACATCAAGAATCACCAGGATGAGATATAGAAATGGCAATGCGATGGGTTTCATTGGAGGGGGAGCAAGTCCATGTTAGAGGCCAACAGGGGAGTTCGCAGACGAGGAACAGGCATGTGAGGGGAAGGAAACTTGGTAGGAAGGATGAGACCCTTGTCTTCAGTCTGGAGCAACATCAGACAATCCTTCTACCAAGGTAGAATGTGGTGAAGGGGAGGGGGGAAGTGTGGAAGTGAATCGTGTTGGACAATTTCCGGAACAATCAAACTCGATACAGCATGATTCATACGAGTAATCATACTCTGCTCCTGGCCCTCGGAGACCAGGAAAGAGCCGGGCTGGATTTCCTAGAAGAAATACGGAATGGAAGCCCTGGTGTATATCGTTAGACAGATTCTGACACCGGTCGAGTTTCAGATACTTACGCAAGTGCAAAGACAGCCGTAACACCGACCAAGGCACGGTTCCTCACCCGCTCACGCTTCAGCTTCTCTTCCAGGACTTTTGCCCTCTTGGCGCGCAGGGCCGAGGCCGCTCTGGTCTCATCATCCTCCTCGTCCTCACTGAGCATGTCGGTCTTGCGCTTTTTGGCACCCTTGGGTGACGAGGATTCCGGCTGTTCACCTTCGGTGGCCTGGACCTTGATCGCTTCCTCGACCATTTCCTTGGCTTTTGCGATCATCTTCTCTGTGTCCTCCGCAGAAGGTGCCTCGGGAAGGCTAACAGGCATCTCGACTGAGATCGTTGTCTGGGTGGTTCTGACATCGTCCACCGTGTCGGCAGTCGTCTTGACGTCAACCTTGACTTTTTCTTCTTCGACCTCATCCTCCTCAGGAATAGCGGCGACCTTCTTCTTGGGAGTCGGCTTGGTAGTTTTCTCTGTAACGGAGACCACTTTCTCTTCGACATACTCCTCCACGCTAGGCTCGACAGTTCCGTTGGCTGACCCAGCATCAGCGGTAGACGCAGTCATTTCCAAAGCGGTCTGAAGGCTGGCGCTGGCTGCACTGGCCTCCTCCACACTGGCCTCCTTGGCTGCGCGAGTCTTCCTCGGCTTGCGGGGGGAGGGGACTCTCTTACTGGGCGAAGCAGACCGCCCCCTTCTCGTACGCTGCGAGGGGGCAGAGAGCTGAGTTGGGGCTTCAATGGGCGGGAGTTCGAATTTTGGAGGAGGTGTAATCTGCTTCTTTGGGGTTTGAGGAATCTCTGTAGGATCGAGCAGAGCGCGAACCCAATCATACATCTGGTATTCCTTGGCCAGCTCCAAAGCTATGGACAATCAGAGTAAATTCTCTTGGGGATGTTGGTGAAATCCAGGCGTGCTTACCTAGTATGGGGCTGATCCAGATATTGCCGGCGATTTCATCCTCGCTGGTGCCCTCCCGAGTCTTCAAGTACTCCCGTTCGGCCTTCTCTTCCTCCAGCTTCGCCCATGGGAAAGCGATCTTGAACATCCCAGTAGCGCTGACATATCCATCCTTGCTCCGTCGCTGATTGAATGAAAGCGATCAGAATCAGCCGCTGTGAATGTCGAAGGGCGAAGCGGCTTCACTCACCATGAGAAAGTAGGTATCCGGGTGCTGCACAGGGGCATGCGACGCGAAAATCTCGGAGCCTTTCAGGTCTTTTGGCAGTTTCGCGCGCAGATGGGCATATTCAAACGGGCCCAAATTCTCAGGCTTGGTTGCGTTGGACGTTCCGATCTGCGTCGGCTTGACAGCGAGGTGTGTTTTCCCTAGACGGCGGAGCGCCAGGAGTTCCTCGTCTGTTCTCCCCCGGAAGGAACGGGTTAGCCCAGCGCAATGCTCATGTCGTACAGCGCCTCCTGGTTGAAGGGTCGAGAGCAATTTTGGAGTCGGGGATACGAAAAGAAATGGTAAAGTTTCAACTTACACGAAGGGGATTGATCCGGGAGGATGAAAGGGTTGTTCCTTTTGGGCAGAGATCGCACCATGATGTATGGCTAATATGGGTCTAGATG